AAGAAAAAAAAAAAAAAAAAAAAAAGAAAGAAAGAAAGAAAGAAAGAACGTAACGTCTCGCACGAAACGTATACGTGATATTCCGACAGTCACATTATGAACGTTCTCATTAGCTTTCGTTAATCTCGTGGCGCTCTCATCGTCCCACATTTTTCGTGTTTGCTTCAAAATCTCCCTTCTTACGCTCACCCTTTCAAACTCCACTTCCTCGAACGATGCAGCAACGATCGTAGAATCGAATCCGTATCGAGTCGACGTCCGGCCTCTCTACTAGCCATTTCCCCGTTAAACAGGCGTCGGAAAGGGAGATCATCTGGGTGATGAGAGTGGGAATAGGCGTGGTCGGCATATTGAGCACGGTGATGGCATTGACGATACCCTCGATCTATGGCCTTTGGTCGATGTGCTCGGACCTGGTCTACGTGATCCTCTTCCCTCAGCTGTTGATGGTGGTCCACTTCAAAGAGTACTGCAACACTTACGGCAGTCTAGCCGCGTACATAATAGCCTTCGTTGTGAGGATAAGCGGTGGCGAGCCGTTGATGGGCCTGCCCGCGCTGATTCACTATCCGGGGTACGACGAGGAGACGGACACGCAGTCGTTCCCATTCAGAACGATGGCGATGCTAATGTCGTTGGTGACGTTGATAGGCGTGTCGTACGGCACGCAGGTAGCCTTCCTCACCGGCCGGCTGGCGCCTGGTTACGACGTGTTCAGGTGCGTGGTCAACATACCGGAGGACGTGGAGAGAGTCGGGCCGGATCCGGCGGAAGGCGAGCAAATGGCTGTCTTGGCTGCCGGTATCGGCAGGCTATACGGTAGCAAAGACGAATCGCACGGCCGAGTCAATCCTGCACTCGAGCCGGACTACGACATGGAGCCGGGATGCAAGACAACCGGGGAAACGGATGATGTCGTCCTCGGTGGCGGCGGGGGCGGCGGTGAAGCGCACCTGGTGCCCCACGGGCCGAACGTGCCGCGACAGCCGCAATCCAGCACCGCGTTTTAATTCCTGGTTCCGTGTTCGGATGCTGTGACCAACAATAAGTGCGGCGGTGCAGGGGCCCGTCTTCTGTTCTCCTACCCTTCATTTCCTTTCGTTCCTTCCCTCTCCCGACCATCTTGTGCCCGTTATTTTCAATTCTTTTGTTTCAACAGTACCACGCGAGCGGTGGTGTTTCTGCACAGAGAAAGCTTCTCGACGAGGCGAACGAACGTGCGCGATTATTTCTCGATTATCGTAGAAAATAATTTCGTCGAGGGGTAGGAGTTTTCGATTCCGATTTCTGCCCCCCCCCTCCACCCCCCTCTCCGCGCGTCCAGGAAGCTCCGAAACATGCCAATCTGTTCCAAGTTCTTCACGAAATCTTGTTTCGTGGTTGTGTTTATACGTAGTTGCAGTTGTATAGCGACGTGTACCTGTACGAGAATGCTCGTTCGCTCTCTTTCGTAGCTGAAGCAGTAGAAGAGAGGAAATGTGTAAAAAAAAAGAAAAAAAAAAAAGAAGAAGAGGTCGAACGAGCGAGAACGGAAGAACTGGAAGAAAAGTGCAATACTCGCGAATTACTCGAAGCTTCTTGAACAGTCGGGCGAGGTGATTCGCGCCTGTACCGCCAATTAGGCCTAGTAATCTGTTTCCTTTTTGAAAAACAAAAAATATATATATATATATACACACAGACAAACGCAGCAAACACAGACACACACACACACACACAAACACAAAATCACATATATAAAAATTATATTTATACGCAATCACGTACGTACGCGCACGTATGTAATTGCGGATAGGTATATTAAATATTTAGAGTTTATCAAACTGCTTGGGAGTAATAACGTCTTGATGCACGACCGATCCGTCCCCGATCCACAGTCAAGGGTCTGTCTCAGAAAAAGAAATCCAACAAGCTCGGGGCCAGAAGCTTGAGCACGTCGGTTAGAAATATTTAGCTCCTTAGACATTAGCAACGAGAGACGAGCGGCTATCACTGGACAGGATAGAGTCGATAAGTGAACGTTATATATAAAGTTTTTTTTTTTTAGAATGAGTTCAATTAGACGAAACCATGTTGTCGTTTAGTCCTCTTCCACGCGCATCGTTCCACCTTCTTCATCCCCCCCCCCCCCCCCCCCCGATTATTAGCATCTAATTCATCGTCATCGTGTAGAGTCCATCGTTGTTAGAAGAATATAAAAATAAGAAAGAGAGAGAGAAAAAGAGAGAGAGAGAAAGAGAAAAAGACGTTAAGAGGCTTTTATACTTGCGATTGATCGTTCTTCCCTTGCTTAGTCCGACTGGAAACGCAGTCGATACACGTTGCATGTACATACGTTCGTTTGTACTATTAAAAAGAAAA